GGATAAATTAATATTCTTGACATCAATATGTTCATAAAATAAATATAATTGCTAAACATTAATCCTTCTTTGAATTAAAATCAAATTAATATTCTGGACATCACTTCATTCATAAATTAAATTCAGCAATACAAAAATTAAACAATGTCTTTGTTTGACGTTCAACATTTTAACAGGAAAATAACCAACAACAACAATATTTAAAAAGCCAACAATGTTATAAACACTCTTTAACTTTCTTCTTGATTTGTATCTTCATGAGGAACACTTCCTTGATCAGATACCTACAATATAAAATAAAAGTGAGTAGTAATGAAATTATAAAAAAAATATTTGATGAATTTTCAATTATTACTGGTGATGCTTGGAACATGGTAAATTGTGAAGGTAATTGACCTTGAAAATTCTGCAGTAGAAATGTCATCATTGTCTTTATTTTGTTGACTTGTGATGTCAATGAAGTAACCTGAAACAAAATGAACTTGAAATAACATCATTAACAACCTAAATAATATTGAAAGTGTATGTGCAACTCTTGTAGCACCCTAATTTTTTACATATAATATTTTAATGTATAAAACAAACTCTATAAATAAGAAATTTTTATTTTTCTTGTGCATAAATTTAGTTGAATTTTATTATATATGCAACATAAATTTTTATATGAAGCCCCAACCAATTATGTGATTAATTAGTAGTAAGGAAGTTTAACCCAAGACCAATTAAAGAGTGAAACCCACTGTTACAACCCATATTTAATACCAAGTACTCTAACTTCTACTGACTCCAATATTAGTAACTTTCATTCAAGTTAACAGTGTCTATCATGAAAAGAATTTGCATAAATGCCAACATTTATGTCAACCAATATACCATTAACTAAAATTGTACCCAATAATAAGGATAATTAACTAAAATTGAACTTAATCAAATAACACAAGAATGCAAGCCAACCAACAAGCTAATCATAAAAGAAAAAGTAAATATAATTAAAAAATTCATTAACCTGAGTTTGTAATTGTGTATAAGAAGGAGAAGTTGAAGACGACCCACTAGAAGAACGAGCATTGAATCCAAATACATTAGATGGACAAGGACCCAAACCTAGACCAGGAACACGTCCACAATGCTCTTGGCTTCCTAAAGCATAAGCCAAAGAATCCATCCTTGATATTTCTTTTGATTGAGATGACAATGAGGTTGATTCATAAGCTTTAATTTTTTCCTACATAGAACAAAAAGCTCCATTAGAATTGTAATGGAATTGTCAACTGTACTTTCTATTAGAATTTAGCTTACACCAATTTCCCTTGCTTCATCACTGACAAAAGCTCCATTAGTATGTCTATGGGTAGCAATCCATACTTCTCCTCTACTAACTTTATGGCCACACTCTTTTTCCTATAAAAATCGTCAAAAACCATATTAAGTATGTCATAAATAAAATGATAAATATAATATAAAGATCTGCAATGTTTTCACCATCTCATCCCTCTTCCGTGCAATGCTCTTAGATCCCCGTGTGTGAGCAATGGTTTGCTTTGTCCTGTTCTCTTTATTTTTTAGAGAAATATCCTAACATTGACAGAAAAATTATTAAATGATAAAACAATCTTAAGAGAAAAAAAGGTTTTACCTTTGTTTTTGAATTAAGCCGATAATCAACAAAAGAAGCCCAATAATCTCTATCTATTCCTTCTGGTACGATTGCAATAAATTCATCTCTAGTACGTGTGCCATCGTCCCTTTGTTGCCATAATTCTTGTCGATAATCTCTCCATTTTGAGTTAAGTGACTTCAAGATGTGATTTACTTGAACATTAGAATTGACTGCAAACTTAGCCTTCAAAAAGTAGTTTAATCAAAATTAACAACAGTTACACTATCACTGAATTATAAATTCAAAATTGACATTACTTACTTGAATAGTATTCTGAATTATGTCCTCTTTGTAATCATTAGGAGTCTTTCTCCAACTAGAATGGCTAATAGGAAATGTCTTGAAGTTTCTAGCAATACTTCCTAAGAACCTATTCAGTAATGCTCCAGCTTCTCCAATTGGTTGACCCTCATCATTCCAATGCACAACAATCCTTTCATTATGAGGCAAATTCCAAACATAATTTGTCTTTAAGTGCTTTGTATTCATCTTGCATTGGTCATCTGTGAAGTTATAAAAGTTGTGTCAAAGATCATTCATAGTAGTTAATTTATATATTAAGTTTTAACTTCATATATCTAAATATGATAAAGGAAAGCATGGAAAACTTACTTGATCAAATTTTTCTCTCAAAACACCCGTACTTGGTGATGCCTTCTTCACTTCAGCTATCAATCCAGCAAAGTCATTTATATTAGTTCCAATATACTACCAAAGAGTATGCTCAATAAGTTCTTGGAGGAGTTCTTACCATTAATACTTGGATGAGTTTGATAGAAGCAACAACAACACTTGGCAGAAAAAACTGATGGGATGAGCTTTGTTTGGCTGCATCGAAGAAACAAATTTTAGTTAGTAAAAGAGTGAAAATTAATCCATTGAAGCTGGCCTAGTATTTATTATACTATGAAGCTGGCCTTCAAACAAAATGTGTGGGTATATTGACCATATAGGACTTGTAACTAGAAAAGTAAGATTAACTAGTGTTGAAAGAAGCTTAAAGTACTGTTTCTGGCCTAGTGGTGTGTTTTGGCTCTTGACGAGGGAAGATGGATTGTACAACTTGAAAAGGAGCAGAAGCATTTCAAGCAGCTAAGGCGTAGAACTTTCTGTTTAACCTCGGTACACTAAGCAATAGATCCTCATGCACAAACTTAATGGAATGATTGTTTGCGTCATTCCTTTATTTTTTTGGGTCATATAACTTTAATAGACTCAGTGTACAAATGAGAAAGACAACCATTTTACCAAAATCTTGAAATTATGACCACCTTGCTGCATTACTTCCATTGTTTGGATAGTTGGGTATCACCTTTTTATTTTGCAATTTGATGCACCTCAGGATACCTAATCATATTATCTCTAAGGGTACTAGGGTAATATTGCTAGGGTCTAGGAATGGGAAAATGGATGTTCCATCAAGGATTGTTGAACCCTTTATTGGGAACTTAGAAAATATTATCCTTACAAAGTTAGCTAGGCTTGAAGGACAAATATTTTTTTGTCTTGTTTATTTTAGCCTACAACCAGCAACTGAATTAAAAATATGATTTTTCTCGACTTTGATTCTTCAAGGGTCACGTCAAAACTGAGGTATTATCCTAAAGAATATGTCAACAATTCATGGCAGAAGCAATGTTAGTTGTTTTGAGGAATGCCTTAGACGAGCAGCTCGAAAGAGGTATTGATGCCATTGATTACTTTTTGTTGTGGCTATTTCGGTTTCCCCATTTTCTTTCTTGTCTTTTGTATTTTTAACCAGCTCCTCTGATTTTATTGGGCTTGTTAAATAAATTGTTTCTTGTTTAAACTCTCTTTTTGTAATTAAGCTTCTGTTGATTTGTTTGAGTGATTGCAAAACTCCTATGTTGTTTATGGGTCAGGAGTTAGAAGAGTAATTAATGATGCAGTGAAGAAGCCATCTCTATGTAGAGAATCAGGTGTCAAGGCATTGCTTTTTAATATTATGAAAGGTTACACATCCAGGTTCCATTCAAAAGTAGATAGAGTGTTACAATTGTTGACCAGTGAAGCAATTTATCCTGTTGATGATAAACTAACCAAGGTAAACTTATTTTTGTTTTAGAAACTCAAGCATTTTTAAATTTGTTATGGTAATCAGTAATTTATTGTTGCATGCATTTTTCTTTTCTAATTTTATATGTCCCCACCTAGTGGGATAAGTTTTTTGTTGTTATATCTTGTAGTAGGTTTCTCTAATCCTTATTAAAAATTGTGGGATTCTTGTGATAGGTTTTTTTCTCGTATATGGGACTGTTGTTTCCTTTACAGTGGCCTATTGATGTTTGCTATTTGTATATATAAATCTGTGATTGATTTGTAATGCATCCTACATAATTGAAGTTGAAGCATATACAGTATATAAATATGAGTTATAATCCATTGATGTGTGTGAAAAAAAAAAACTAGCCAGTTAGCTCCAATACATTTTTTACAATGTATCATTAAAATTCAGTTAGTTGCACACGTAGTAAATTAATTTTATTTATATCTCTATAAACACACATCACAAAAACTAATAGAGTTTAGAGCATATAAAAAAAACACAGATGGACTCTTCACAACTATATGCTTAAATTTGATTAAATTAATTTTATTTATATCTCTATAAACACACATCACAAAAACTAATAGAGCTTAGAGCATAAAAAAAAAACACAACAGATGGACTCTTCACAACTATATGCTTAAATTTGATTATTATACACAGAGAATGTAACTAATATATATATAATAAATTAAACAATTGGTAAAAGAAGTTTCAATAGCATGTATACAAGTAATCCTTTTTTTATACATCACTCAAAGAAGTTGTTATATTTATCTCTACAAACTGTCATCCTAACTGAATTTTATCTATCTTATCTCCTTTTACATCCTCGATGAAAATATTTATAAGACCAAATCACTTATATTTTCAATTATTTCATCCCACCCCAAAGAACATATGATGTGTTAAACTTAAAATTAGTATTCAATCCAAAATAAACGAGTGGTATTAATGTATGAAAAATAATAAATAATAAATTATATTTATGTAAAATACGTTTTCAATAGCTCACTCTAGTTTTGAAGAATGTGACAACTGCTGCAATTACGAGTATTGTCAAAAATTCTCTTAAATTCAAAGGGAACCTGCACAAGCAATAATCAAAGCAAGCACACCTTGAATGATGCGGAGGCTAATTGAGAAGGAAAGAGTGTACATAGCAGTGGAAAATAATGGAACTAAGTTGAAATAGACGAAATAAGGAAGAAAGAGGAGAAAAATACCACACACTAGGGTTTGCTTGTTGTTCGAAGATGAGAGATGTATGGTTTAGGTGCTACGATTTGCCGGCAGTTTGAAGATGAGAAGTGTAGGGTAGAGCCACAGATTGAGCCTTAGATTGGTTTGTGTGGTGACTCTTTGAGGTGCCGGGTTCGAGGAAGACCACACGCTACGGTTGGCTGCAGTTCGAAGATAAGAGGCCGTTAGAGTTGGTTTTGATGTAGGGGAAAATAAGAGAGGGTTGCGTGAAGAAGAAGAGAAGACGTTGTAGTTCAACGAATTCAAAAACGTTGGTGTAGGTTTAGAGAGAAGAAGAGACAAAGAGAACAACTGCAGTGAGAGGGTTTCCTGAAAGATTAAGATTGTGCGAAATATATTTTATTCTCGTTTCTATATAAACCGCTAGAAGTGAATTTTAAAAAATAGAATAAAATACTTTAAAGGCGGTTTATTTTATAAACCGCCAGGAATTAAATGGGGTTACAAAACCGTGGTTAAATTTATGCATTTTCGGAGGTTTTCATAACCGCCGTTAAGAACCCTTGCTATAATTCAACATTTTTGTAGTGCATATCCTCTCCTATAACCTTATCGTTCTATCAAATATTATACTTGTGTTTTCTTTCATCTTTCTCTTCCCTTTTCAATTATGATGTAATTGTGTACTTCTCTACGGTTAGATCTATCTTTCATTGGATCATCATAACTTCTTCATCTTGTGCACTTCCATATCCTCTACAATAACCTCATCGTTCAATCCATCTTTCATTGAATTATCACGATGGTATACTTTTTTTATCCAGTGTACTCCCATTTTTAAAGCTTAATGCAAATATGTCTTTTTTTTTTCATTTTTGTGTGTGTTATATTATTAAAATATTTTTTTGATATATTTTTTATATTATGTTATTAAAATATATAAATATATTATAATATTATAATTTAAATTATAAAAATTAATTAATTAAATTTAAATGATTGATTATAACTAATTATTTTATTATATAAATATAATATTTTTTTAATTTATCTAATAAAAATTTAAAAATTATTTATATAATTAAAAATATATTTAACAAAAAAACATATATAAAATTTTATTTTTAAAAAAATTATTGACTGCGTTTTGACATCCTATCCGCACGTTACCAGATCTCTCAATCATGGTTTGCTTTGTATGATACTTCAACTTCTCCTTCCTGACCTTGAAACTCTTATAGAATAATTCAGTTTGCGATGGAGCTGCTTGCATGTGAACATCTTGTCCCTTTCAAATGCTTCCCAAGCATGGATGTTCAAGTCCTTAAATTCCAAAGCTTGCCCACTATTTCTATATTGGTTATCACCCTACAGTACAAAAGAAGATTCAATCCGACGCAAGATTAGTACATATAGCAGTAAAAAGTAATAGTGTTTCATATAAATTTTCATTATAGAGAAAAGTTACCCCATAAAACTTTTCATTTGGATCTGCATCTGGAAGGGGATCCTCTCGCATGGATCTGGTTTTGGGATCGTAATGTGCTGAATTGACATCAAGATTAAGAAGATATTTTGCAGTATCTCTAGAATACGTAGATTCCTGAAGGAAAAAAATATTTCAGGTCCAATTGATCTAATAAATAATGAAATATATATTCTTAAGCATATGACCAATTAAATTGGCCTTGCATATTCAAATGATGGTAACATAAAAATTACCTCAGTTCCTGTACTTCCACCACCTGTTGTACGTACACGCTTCTTAACCTTTGCAAAGTCCATTTGTTTGCTCTCGTCAACCTTTGCCTCCTCTATCCTTAGATCATCTGTAGGATCCTCACCATTTTGGTTGCTCTCAGCATTAAGATAACAAGGTGCAGATGACATATACTGCGGAATATGAGGATTGATTTCCTTTCCATCTTCATCGAGTTCAGCTGGCGCAAGCCCCGCTTTCCGTGCCTCCCTGTTTGCGGTGGTCCTCCCTGGACTTAAATGCAATTGCAATCAATGCCAAACAAGTTTAAAAATTATTGTGGTACGAGACAAATTAATGAGACAAACCACGTTCAAAATTCAACTAAGAAGAAAAAACTGAAAAATGATAAAAGACCCCTCATGCACTTTATGGTGAGCCAAAAATACCCTGTTTTCATTATTTAATAATTCAACATAAGTATCAATCAATTGACAGATTTGAATTGGGATCAGACCACAAAATTACACAAACTAAGAGCGCGATCGAGTGAAAAAACTGAAGGGGAGAAAGGAGTACCTGAAGCGGTGGCCCTGGTGTGATGAAGGGATAGGGTTACTCTTAGTCTACGCAAAGCCCACTGAAATCAATATTCGAGAACGATTTGATTTAAGCAAGAAGCTCATGTCAAACGCCATTACCCTTTACACCTATTTATATTTTCATTTCAAGTTAGGTAAAGATGAAAAAAATAAAAATTGAAACGGTAATGATTATGTTTTTTTTTTTTTTTAAATATTATTTTATTATTTTTTATCTAAATTAAGTGTTAGAAGATTTTATATTAATATTAAAAAATATTAAATTATTATTTTAAATTAAATAGTTTATAACTTTTTTATTTAAATTAGGTATTAATTTTTTATTAATATTAAAAAATATAATTATTCAATTTTAAATAATTCTAAAAATACTTTTAATTTAGGAAAAAAAAAGATAAATTCGCAAATATTTTCCTGTAAAAAATTACTTTACTTTCATTTTTCTGTTGCATTGAGATAAGAAGGAAGAGAGATAATAAAAAACTTAACAAATTTATTATCTTTTATTTTTAATAGTAATATTTATTTTCAAAATATTTATGGATATATGATAAGATATTATTTTAATTTTGAGAGATAAAATAAATAATTTTAAAGATATTTAATTTTTTTCACGTCTAATTAAAAATAACTATTTTAGAATGGATGTGGTGGGAAGATAATATCTTTCTTATATTTATCTATTATTAAATCTAACTTTTGTGTCTTTTTTACACTTTTTTTTATATTTTTTATATTTTCTTAAAATAAATATTGATGACGACTCTATTATTATTTTTATTTAGAAACATATTTTTGTTATTTTATCAATTTTGGTTGACAATTATTATTATAATTATTCTTATTATTATTATTATTATTATAATTATGATTATTCTTATTCTTATTATTATAATTATATTAAAGTTGATTTTTTTCTCTAACACGTCTTTAAAATAAAAAAAGTTAAATTTTAGTACCTAATTGTATGATTTTCTATTCTTAGAAAGTCTCTTAGTTGATGAAACAAAAGAGATCATAAAAATTGGAAGCAAATTGATATCACAATCTATCACCTCCATGTAACTAAAACTGTTTCGCTACGTAGTTCAAAGAAACCTCATGATCAACATTTGTTTTGGTCATCTTTGGATTTCAACTCCAAGAAAATTCTAATTATAATAGAAAGTTTGTATTCCTTTTCAGTTCTACATCTTCATACAGGTTATAGGGTGTGGCATAAGATGCAAGGAGGTAAGATGAAGCTAGATGAGGATCTACGACCTGATCGTGAGGATGATTTCCAAACAGATGATGAAGAAAATCAGGCACACAGGGTGTTTGAAAATTTGGATGATGATTCTGATTCAGATAATTCACCTCTTTCGCCAAGTTTGTCCAATGAGATTTCCACGATCTCTTGGCCTCAAAGTTATAGGTAATCTTTTATTAATTGTTAATTACATGTGTTTTCTTTTTATTATTATTTTGAGTGAGGGAGAATCTTTATATCACTTTGTTATACATTCAATTCTGTCTGTTAATTGTTCTTGTAAGATAATTTGTCGTCTTCTGCTTTTTAGTTTTATAGCCTCTGCCATTTGCATTGGTCTCTTTATTAATTTGAAAACAAATTATTTCCTCATTAACTTGTGTTGCTTTTCGACTTTCATCATGTGTAATTTTACACAATGATGTGATCACCAACATTTATAGGATAATATGAATCTAAATATGAATATGCATTTGATATAATTTCACACATCATGCTATGCATATACGAAGAAATCTATTACTTCCTTGTATGACATGAACTTTTACGAACAATAGTACCATAAGAAAAAAAAAGTTACAATTAAAGAAATAAGATAGGATCAAATGAATGTTTAGTTGGGTATTCATATAGAATAATGGATAAGTATTTTGATACATTTTACATTAAAGACATTTTTTGAAAGAGTTTGGATAAATTTTCAAGTTTGATAGAATTTTCAGCTATTTATAAGAGAAGGTAGATTTCACAGGTATTTATAAGAGAAGAAAAAGATAAAATGCATGTAGTTTATCTAGACAGAACCTTTCACTTATTTTATATCTTAAACACTTAAATGTGATTGGTTACATATATGCAAGTAATTAATAATACTCACATAAACTATTTTACCATATTTTAATGAGATTGAGAAGTATATAGTAAACTAAACTTTTTTTTAAAGACATTTAATTAAGTTGTTTATTGTATAGTGACAAAAACATTTAAATTTTATAAATAAAAGCTTGTAAAGTTTACAAAAGGAACAAGTAATTATTAATGTGATTGAAATTGAAAGAAATGGATTGTCTATAGTAATTAAAGTACTAATTCCTTTGTTCATTATGAACAGGCAATCTATGGACATGTTAACTAGTGCAACACCTCCTGGACTAAATCTCTTAAAAAGAATTGGTTCAGTAGGGAGAAGTAACTCTTCCATCAAGAGATCCAAAGAAGATTCTTCTCTAACTCTACCCTTTGTTTCTGAGACAAATTTAATCAAACAAGACGAACACCATGCCTCGACACCTTGCCTACAGCCACTTGTTTCTAGCAGTGCCAGATTTTCTGTGAACGAATTGCCACCACCACAACAACAATGTTCATTTACAAAATCAGTAATTAATGGTGACTATCATCTTCATTCCACAATCCTAATATAATTATTAAGATATATATTTTATTAAGTGTAGTTGTAACATGTCCTCGACGTATCGTGTTGTCATTATGTAAAATAGCGTAACAAAGGTAATATTTACTTGTGTGAAATAAAAACAAGTAAATATTCAATTATATGGTTTTTGCATACAAAATTATTTAGTTACTTAAGAATTCAATTCGTTGCGAAAGGTTAGGATTGTTTTAAGCACAATTATATTCATTGTGTTAAGGACTAACAAAATCTTTGTTTGCTATGAAGGAACAAATATATTATGTGGAATAGGAATTCTCACCATTCCATATGCAATGAAAGAAGGAGGGAGTTTGAGCCTTATAATACTTTTCATGTTTGCTATCATGTGTTGTTATACTGGATTGTTATTGATAAGATGTTTAGAAAGCAACATTGGACTCAAAACCTACCCAGATATCGGTCAGGCTGCTTTTGGAATAGTTGGTCGCTTGGGGATTGCAGTGAGTATAATAGGATTGCAAGCAAGTATCAAATGATACCTTTTAACAGGCTCTTCTAAAGTGAGTAAAATAAATAATTAGTCGTTGATGAGAAAATAAACTATTAATATCCCAGCACACTTATTATTCGTCATCCATGTGCTCTAATATTAATTGTTGATTTTATCATCAATGATCATGATTACTTACTCTCTAAAGAGAATTTCTCACTTTAGTGAAGCCAAATCAACTTCACAAGGTGCATATATAAAAGGGAAACCTAATATTATATTTTGGTTAAATGCAGATCTTTTTATACGTGGAACTTTTTGTAAGTGCAAGAGTTCGATATGCATTTGCAACTATTTTTCATATATATACTTTGGCTTTATTGATTCTCATACCTACTTACAGGTGAATAGCTCTTATGTGTAGGCTTCTTGTGTTGAGTATATAATACTAGTCAGTGATAACCTCTCATCACTATTTCCTAACACCCATGTAAGATTTGGCAGGACTGATTTCAATACTGAACAAATTTTTGCTGTCACAGCAGCAGTTCTTATTCTACCAACAGTTTGGTTGCGAAATCTAAGCTTGCTTTCTTATATTTCAGGTATTTGATCACCATTGCCTTACATTTTACAAAACCTCTCTTTGAAATTTACTTGCTAACAAAAGTTAACTCTATGCTCAGTTGGAGGAATATTTGCAACAATAGTTGTTGCACTTTGCTTGTTTTGGGTTGGTACGGTTGACAAAGTTGCTGGATTTAAGCCAGGAGAAAAAGTTTTAGACTTGGCTCACTTACCTGTCTCAATTGGTCTCTATAGTTTTTGCTTTGCTGGTCATGCAGTTTTTCCTAACATCTACTCTTCTATGAAGGAACCATCCAAATTTCCATCAGTGTTATATGTCTGGTAAGTGTGAAAATCTAGTATATATTGAGTTTTGCAAGGTGTAATGACACTCAATTCACTTACACCACTCATCCAAATAAAACTATATTGAAATATTAGTTTTGTTCAACAACATTAATTACTGATTAACTTCCATTTTGCAGCTTTGCCTTTTGCCTTGTTATGTATGTGAGTGTGGGAATAATGGGCTATATAACATTTGGTGACTTAGTTTCATCTCAGTTTACTTTAAACATGCCTAAAGAATTATGTGCATCTGAGATTGCAACTTGGACTACGGTAAGAAAGGAAACTAATCTCCTTTTTTTTTTATTACAAATTTGTAATAGCTGATAGTTAGGAACTTATGTTCAACACAAGAAAACATTTTATTCTCTTCTATTTATGATTGCTTAAATGATATATTTAATGAATTTATGTATCGTATAGGTTGTGACTCCATTGACAAAGTATGCCCTAACGTTATTGCCTATTGCACTAAGTATAGAGGAACTAGCCACCTCTCCTAGGCTAAGATGTCATGCTGTCTCGGTTTTTGTCAGAACTACTTTAGTGATTTTAAGCTTATTTGTGGCTCTCTCTATTCCATATTTTGGTAAGTAGTAGCACATATATAAATATTATTACTATCACTGAATAATTTCTTGTTTAAAAAATATTTTACTTGACAGAACATGAGAGAACAAAAAATGAAATAAACTTTTTACGAAATCTTAAATTAGTTTATTAAAATAGGATCTTTTTCATTTTATTCATGAAAAAAACATATGGTATATTCTTATGTTATTTCTTTTATTTGATGGCTTTAGTAGGGACACTTGTGTTTTGCTTTGAAAGAATTGAGGGATAGGAGAAGGGAAAGGTGCATGTAAAACTGAAACCATTAATGTCAACTTTGACACATCTACCAAAATGACTTAAAGCACTTAAGGATTGTATAAGTTAATAGATAGATTTAATGTATATATACAGGGATTTCATAGTTTCAAATTCACATTTTAGCGTGACAAACATATTTTAGTCTTATATGTCTCAATATTCTTTCTCCTTTATAACAATGCTAATTATGGAAACAAAACAAAGAGCTAGTAACATCATAGAGCATCATACACTTGTGTTGTTTGATTATCTCTTTAAAATTTAATGCAGGTTCTTTGATGGCACTAATTGGTTCTTTCATGTCAATAGTAGTTGTAAGTTCTCTATCTTCATATTCACTTTTTTAGTGCAATTTATTTAAGCTTATTATGTATTTTGATTGTCATGTCTCGAGACAGGCACTTATTTATCCCTGTGCATGTTTTCTCAAGCTACACACTGGCAGATTATCAAATGCAGAGGTACAAAGTCAGGTCTTATTCAAATTATTATTATTATTTTAATACTATGAGATGAAACTAATTAAACTGATGTTATTTGATTTTTTATTTATTTCAGATAACAAATTGTGTTTTGATAATTGTTGTGGGGTTAATATGTGCGTGTATTGGAACACACTCTGCTGTTCAAAAAATAATTGGAGAAGGGGATTGAATACTACTATTTTTTTTTTTTTTTTGCCATTTATAACTTCTATTGTCAATTTTTGTTACATATTAAGACTTTTTCATACATTTGTGTTTCATGGTTTAAATCAACCACAGTTTAATGTAATCCATAAGAAATAGATCATGGATAATTTTTTTAGCTCTTTAGTCTGAGTTTGTATAAACGATTGCTTGTAACGTGTGTGGATATGTTTTATACTCTGTTTCTAATGAAAATGAATAGCTTAAGGTTTTGTCAACCACTAACATATGTCCAAAAGAAATGCTAGATTGGAGCTATAAATTCTTATAAAGTACTTAAATTGAAAAATAAAAAGTAAAAAGGTGAGTAAAGTATCCCGTTGGACCACTTACTTAAATGTGATGTGAAATTCATTTTGTATAATTGATTCATAATTTATTAATAAAGATTCTTTAATTTTTTTTTCTTTGAGTATCAAAGTAATGATTTTGTATAATTGATTCGTAATTTATTAATAAAGATTCTTTAATATTTTTTTTCTTTGAGTATCAAAGTAATGATTTGTACTAATTAAAGTAATTGTTCAAGTGAATATAGTGGTTGTGATAAATCTCTAATATTGGATGTTTTTCAAAAAGTAGGTTCATTCGAAAGGATTACTATGAATACAAAAAAAAAAATCTCTCTAAAAATAACAGACATTGTGAAAGATATCAAGATTATAGAATTTCAAATGTGAAATTTCTTTGATTTATGTGCGATATACACGTCATTTTCCTTTCAAATAATGACAATAGAGAAAAGGTTCTTATAATTAAAACTACCAATAAAAATGGTTACTTGTAAAATTATTAATTTAAATTCAAATTTTAAATGAAATAATAATAATAATAATAATAATAATAATAATAATAATAATAATAATAATAATAATAATAATAACTAAAAAACCATCAATTCCTGACATGTTTTTTACTTACATGGAAAAGTATTAATATATCCTAAACTTCAAAGGAGATATAAAATAAATATATTATGTAAATTAAATTTAAAATTAATTATATTAGAGAATCATAATTTTCAAATCTAATTTAATTAGTTATGCATTTCTCAATGCAATTAAACTTTTTTTAAGGTTTGAGTTAAAATAAAAATTACTATAATTATGTTCTTACAAATAAATAATATATTTAAATTTCTAGCTAATTAAGTTAAGTTAATAAAAAAAATTAGTGTAAAATTTAATACTTATTTATATGCATTATGAATTTTTTTATATTGAGAAATATAGTGTATCAAGAAGTTACGTTTAAATTAGGTTAATTATTAATCTGCAATAATTACTCTAAACTTGGTGTTATAATATTAAATAATATATAATAAACATAAATTAAAATGGAAATTTAAGAATTTCAAATATAATAAACCTTAATTATTAATTATTACTTTGGAATCGAACCTTTTTTCTGAAAAGGGATTGGTCCTTGGACGGACCTAACCATGTTGCTGTGTCCTAAAGTATTACAGCACAACATGTGCACAACCTTTAAACTTTAGTTCCCGTCACTGCAAATTAGGAAGGAAGAATCCAACGTGTTGTCATCCTTTTATTTTGTGCATTGTTCAATGTAGTTACCACCATGCCATTAATTAATGTCCTAAAATTTCTCTAGGGTTTTGACTATTACAATAGGAATGCTTCTTCAGAAAAATCAGTAATCCCATTAGTTTTTATTGGAATCCCTAGTACCTATACATGATTAAAAATAACTTTAATTCAATCTAGTGAAAGTTTGCACTTGATTAAAATTTAAGTTTACGAAGGTTACAAACAAATATCTATTTAAGCTTAATTATTATAACTATAACAATAATAAATTCAAAGTTTAAAAAATGAATACCTCCAATGTAATAACTTTAACCATTATGAAATAAGTTGTTATTTTTGGATAAGATAAAAGGATTGACTTGTTCAAATAATCACATTCTCGTTCAATACAACTTTCAATGATATAAGAATGACATTTGGTACATATAAAAGTGACATATATTGTTAGATTTGTACTAGTACTAAAAATGAAGTAGACAAGACATAGGAATACGATTGGATCCAGTTTAGAACACATCAATGTCCCGATTAAGAAAAGCATCACGTGCTTTGCCTGAAGATAATTTATTGGCATCTACAACATGCCTATGTCACAAGGGTGCCATCATCATCACATTCCTTTGTAAAGTAATCAAAACCAAGCTTTTTGCAACCCCTCACTATGCTGTGATGTAGTAAGTACTAGAATGTTTGTGGATCATATGGTTCATTTATTTAACCAATGCACTCTTATTATATCTAGGAGAGGATAATGAATAAATCTGATCTTCAGATTATTTTTTCATAGTTGGATTGAATTGTTTGTTTTTTTCTTCCAATTTTCAAGATAAACCCATGCGAGCCATTGATTAGCAAAAACAAATTTAACAAAATTTACTTCCAATTTTAGTCAGTAATTTGAAAAAAAAATCTCTTTACTCAAATTCTATTAAAAACTTTATTTTTGTGATTAATAAAATTACAATTCACATGACAATGGATTTTGATTTTGTGTTCTTATTATTAAATACTTTATATATTAACATCGTATTTTAAAGCTCCTTAGTAAACTTTTCATACATTCCACGTTCATATGCAGCATTGTTGCTAACAAACATGACATGAACTCCGTATTCCCCTTTCTGTCATATACCCTTCTAAACCATGTTAGCGTGCAGCTACCATTCAGATTAAAGAAAAGAAAAGAAGCACCCACCAATCAGATAAACAAAAAAGAGAATCCACAAAAACTCAAACTCAAACCTAATATATATAGACACATATCATAGATATATACATAACAAACAAAGATGTACGTTAATTAGGTTTTAGATACTATAGCACTAGGTACAACCAAAGTCTTGTTGTACCTTCCCTGGTAGATCCCATCTCAACTATTTCTCAGATCTTTTTCTTGAGACTTTTCCTACATATAAGTCTAAACCTTCAAGCAATTCTTATGCTTTTCCTTGCCTCCGCATTGTACAACACTTTCTACGTAGTTACTCCACAACCTCTTCCCTAAAACACCCAAACAAACCCAATAACCCTGCATTTTAACTCCCCCGGAACCAAAAACCAAAACGTTCAAGAAACCATAATGAGACCCAAAACCACATGCAACAACCACACCATTTTAATCCCATGTTTCAACCTTGCCATTCTCCTCATCCTACAAACACCCCTTATCATGTGTGAGGCCAAGACACTAACTTTGCCACTAAAATCACAAGTGATCCCATCTGGGTATCTCCCGAGGCCACCCAACAAGCTTCGATTCAACCACAACGTTAGCCTCACTATCTCCATCACAGTTGGCACACCCCCACAGAACGTGTCCATGGTCATTGACACAGGAAGCGAACTCTCCTGGCTCCACTGCAACAACACCAACACCACCCGGTTCATTCCCGACCCGATTTTTAACCCGAATTCCTCTTCCTCCTACTTACCCATCTCGTGCTCTTCATCAACCTGCACCACTCGAACCAGAGATTTTCCCATACCTGCTTCATGTGACTCCAACAACCTCTGCCATGCGACTCTCTCCTACGCCGATGCTTCCTCCTCCGAAGGGAACCTCGCTTCGGACACATTCGGATTCGGATCCTCCGTTAACCCGGGAGTTGTATTCGGCTGCATGAACTCGCCCTTCACAACTAACCCCGACTCCAACACAACTGGGTTAATGGGTATGAACCTCGGGTCACTCTCATTGGTTTCTCAAATAAAAATTCCCAAATTCTCGTACTGCATATCGGGTTCTGATTTCTCGGGCATTTTACTTCTCGGGGAGTCCAATTTCTCGTGGGGCGGGTCGTTAAATTACACCTCCTTGGTTCAAATATCCACTCCTTTACCTTATTTCGACAGGTCTGCGTACACGGTTCGGTTCAAAGGAATTAAGGTTTCGGATAAATTATTAAATATATCGGATAACTTTTTGGTTCCGGACCACACCGGAGCGGGTCAAACAATGTTTGATTTGGGTACTCAATTTACGTTCTTACTAGGCCCGGTTTATAATGCATTAAGAGATGAGTTTCTGAACCAAACAATTGGTACATTGCGGGTGTTGGATGATCCGAATTTTGTTTTTCAGATAGCCATGGATCTTTGCTACAGGGTGCCCATGAACTGGTCCGAAGTACCCGAATTACCGAGTGTGAGTTTGGTTTTTGAAGGGGCCGAGATGCGGATTTCCGGTGACCAACTTTTATATCGGGTACCGGGTTTGGTTCGGGGCAATGATTCGATTTATTGCTTGACCTTTGGGAATTCGGACCTTCTTGGTGTTGAGGCATTTATAATTGGTCACCACCAACAACAGAATATGTGGATGGAGTTTGATCTTGTGGAACATAGGGTTGGGCTGGCTCATGCACAATGTGATTTGGTTGGGCAAAAGTTACTGGGCTTACGCTGAATGAGCCCACTTGCTTCATTTAAGTGTGGTCCAAAGTTGGAGAGAGATTTGAGAAAGTGAATGAAGGGGTTTTAGTGTGTGTAGTAAAAAGTGTTTAAAGAGGTTGATATGCTTTGAAGAGCATCCACTTTGTACATTCTATTTTTTTATTGTTTTTAGTATCCAAATCAATAAATTTGAACTTAAACATGTTCCTTAACATATTCTTGTATCCTTGTGATTTGGCAACTATTGTTTTGTCAGTTATTAGAAGGTTCAAAAGATGGAGCATGATTTTATGTTTTATCATTCATCATAGCATATCAATTTATGATTTATATTACTTTTTGCTTGATAAGAAGCTCAAAGTTTTGATACCAATGGTTGATTTGGGCATGAGATCACAATTTATTTACACAAATATTAAAATTGATTCAATTAACTTCTTTTTTTTATTTCTTTTCCAATGAACCTACATAAATATATTAATGTTTTATTTGTTTAGAGTGATTTAGTGTACTATGATTTGAAGAAGATTTGTATAAACATTTATTAGTTTGTTTTTGTTAATTTGAATAGATTTAGGGTGAGGTAGAGATGAGTCCTACGTCCTCAGAAATCCATTATCAAATAATAATAAAAAAGTACGTGATTAAATAATAAATGTTTAAATTATTTTTAATAATATTTTTATTATTATTCAACTTGGTTGATATATGAAATTTTAGTAACTTTTATACTTTTCCCTTATTTATATTTATCATGTTAATTTTTAAATGAAGTGTTTAGTTAACTATTTTATTTAATTTAATCTAAAATAAAATAATAATCTGGTACACACCTTACATATAATACTAAAATAATGTACTACATAATTAAGTATTCTACTCAAAATAATGTCCTATGATTGCTTTTATAGTCAAAAGCTTTACTCTTTTAAGAACTGGACCGCTTCGGTAGGTTTGTTATTTTTTAAATAATTAAATTGATATAAAATTAAAAATTAAATATAAAATCAATAAAATTGGTTAGATTTTTGTATTGAAAAATTTATATTGAAAAAAATTAAAGATAATTTTTTAAAAATTTTTAAAATATTTTTTATATAAAATATAATTTTTTTAAATTTATTTATTTATTTCATATTAATCATATTAATTTTCAATAATTTTATTTTATTTTATTTTATTTTTACCTATTTCATCTTTTAATGTATTTTATATGTTAATAACTTTAATTGTTATTTAAATAATTGTAATAGAATTTTTATTATTATTATAATTATTTTTAAATAAAAAGTTATTATTATTAATAAATTTATTACATATCTATTATATTGTTATATAATAAAAAGTATTTTATTAAATTCAGGTAGAATTTTTTAAATTTCGATAGAAATAATTAAATTCAAAATAGTGATGAAAACTATCCATAAAGAGGAAAGAAAGATTATCATGAGAATGGAATGAACATTTTATTAAGGATCTTCTATGTCATGGCCAATCATTTTCCAAGAAAAGTTCATGAAATCCCACCTTACAATTTTTGAAACGGTAAAATTTAAACAAAAATTTAATAAAAGTGCAGGAGAAATTCGTATTTATTGGTTTTAGAGTTGAATGCCATTATTACTATTTTAAAAAAAAATTAAATAGATTAAGAAACAAGAATATATATTTATGGTTAAGATTAATGATTATATTTATGACTATGATTAAGATTAATATATAATTTTATCAATGTGGATGTTGTTATTTTAAGACGCATCCAATAGAAGCATGACTAAAATTGATGTTAGAACAATGAAACAACGACGGTAAAATTAGATTTGGACGAATGAGAAAGTGTGGAGATATAGATCCTTGAAAATACCAGTGAGATTGTGAAGAACAAATATAAAGTGGCATTGACAGTAACATCAGAAGCTGTTAGAGTTAGCAGACTATGAAATTAACAACCGACACGGCTAACGGAACAATTTGATGTAAACATTCAACTTTCTTTCCCTTTCTTGCATTCCTTTATTAGCAAGTCTCAATGGTAGGAGACTGAGGTTAACCAGGCAACCAAGTCCATCCAACCCAATTTGTGATGCTCAATCCCTTTCATTTCTCTACATTTTCTTTATTTTATTTCTCACTCAAAGTGCCCAAGTGGAAATATAGAATGAATAGATAGTACGATGATCTAATTTGTTAATTGACCCTACAAATGTTACTACCAAAATAACTTTTTTTTTTTTAATTCTATTATGTTTCAAAATAACTCTAGTTTAAGGTTTTTCATACATACACAATCATTGCGTGTCTTACAAGGGTCATATTAGAAAATGAAGTTATAGACCGTTAGAGGAAGATCCAAATCAATATAATCTGGCTTGTAAAGTACTCAATATTCTTAGCCATTGCCAGCAGCATCTAGCTAGTGGCATTGTTCAAGTTTGGACCATTGTTGCTTAAGCCATTCCAAGTCTGTAATGTCTCATTTTCAACCACCTAATTATCTAATCCCACTTTTCCATTTCTACTATATATGCTGCCTCATTTTCTTGTTCTCTTCATCCAAAGACCAACCATCAAACTCTATTGTCTAGTTGAAGAGCTTCAAAACAAGATTTACAAGAGAAAAGAGGAAATGGAGTGTGCTTATCTCAACATGCCAAGCTTTATGAGGGCAATGTTTGTCATGTTATGTGCTCTAATGATATTGCCAGTGCTAACTCATGCAAAGCATGCAAGAGTCACTAGACACTACAAGTTTAACGTATGAGCAATGCATTTCATTGCATGTTTTTGATACAATGAGATGCTTTCAATTCAATTTTCTTTTACTGACTGTCAGTTTTCCTTTTCTTTTGTTCAGATAAAAATGCAAAACTTCACAAGGCTATGCCAAACAAAAAGCATTGTAACTGTCAATGGACGTTTTCCTGGTCCTAGAATCATAGCAAGAGAAGGCGATCGAGTTGTGATTAAAGTTGTTAACCATGTTCAGTACAATGTTTCCCTTCACTGGTATTGTTACACAACTAGATCCCAAGAATCAGTTTGTAGTGATTGTTTGGCATTTTCTCAACATTTGATTAATTTTTCAGGCATGGAATTCGCCAACTGAGAAGTGGCTGGGCAGATGGACCTGCCTATATCACTCAGTGTCCAATTCAGACAGGGCAGAGTTATGTGTACAACTTTACAGTCATTGGCCAAAGAGGAACACTGTGGTGGCATGCACATATCTCCTGGCTTAGAACAACCCTTTATGGTCCCATTGTCATTCTTCCCAAAAGACATGTTCCTTACCCTTTCACTCAACCCTTCAAAGAAGTCCCCATCATATTGGGTAAGTTGAGATCCTAAACAAAATATTACCTTAGAGAATTTAGTGTCACTATGAGCTCTACATGTTAGAAACTTGACATTTTTTCTAACATGCAAATCTGAATAAAATGGCAGGAGAATGGTGGAAAGCAGACACAGAAGCAATTATAAATCAAGCAATCCAGACAGGATTGGCCCCAAATGTCTCAGATGCTCATACCATCAATGGTCTTCCAGGTCCTGTCTCCAACTGCCAAGCCAAAGGTAAGAACATAGTTAGGAAAAGTATATAAATAAGTAGTTTACGCATTAATAATATAAAGACTTTAAGTTTTCATTCAATCTCAAACTGTTATATATGGTATACTTTTTGACTTTTACAGCAGTTATCTTAAAATTTGTATTAGAGATAATTTCTGAATGAATAAGGATTCAAGATTGTTTACATCGAAATTAAAGTTAAAATAGATAGATGAAAGAAAAACACAAATATTGTGAATGCTTGATCATATATGATTATTTATAATTTCATTTGATTAAGTTAAATTGTCTATTTATTCAGATACGTTCAAGCTCAAGGTGAAGCCTGGGAAAACATATCTGCTTCGTCTGATCAATGCTGCACTTAATGATGAGGTGTTCTTCAGCATAGCCAACCACACCGTCACTGTTGTGGAAGCTGATGCTGTGTATGTAAAGCCCTTCAGCACAAAGATTGTTCTGATCACCCCTGGTCAAACGGTCAACGTCCTTCTCAGGGCCAAATCCAAGGCTCCAAATGCCACATTTGCCATATCTGCAAGGCCCTATGCTACAGGTCCTGCTGCTTTTGACAACACTACAGCCACAGGGTTTCTTGAGTACAAGAAACCTTCACTTTCAAGCAACAAGTCAAACACCAAGAAGCTTCCTCTTCTAAGACCAGTGTTCCCTAAGTTCAATGACAGTGTCTTTGCAATGAACTTTCACAACAAGGTGCGTAGCTTGGCCAATGCAAGATTCCCAGCAAAGGTTCCAAAAACTGTTGACAGGCGCTTCTTCTTCACTGTTGGCTTAGGAATCAGCCAATGCTCCAAAAACCAACAATGCCAAGGGCCTAATAACACAAGGGTAGCTGCTGCTGTTAACAATGTGACCTTTGTGATGCCAAACATTGCCTTACTCCAAGCACATTTTTTCAACCAATCCAAGGGAGTGTACACCACTGATTTTCCTGCTAACCCTCCTTTCAAATTCAACTACACTGGCACTCCACCAAGTAACATCATAGTGAGTAGTGGAACTAAGGCAGTGGTTTTGCCATTCAACACCAGGGTCGAGTTGGTCCTCCAGGATACAAGCATTATTGGAGCTGAGAGTCACCCAGTTCACCTTCATGGCTTTAACTTCTTCATTGTGGGTCAAGGCAATGGAAACTTTGACCCCAAAAAGGACCCCAAAAAGTTCAACCTGGTTGACCCTGCTGAGAGGAACACTGCTGGTGTGCCATCTGGAGGGTGGGTTGCTTTGCGCTTTCTTGCAGACAATCCAGGTGGGTGCTATACAATTACATAAGAGTTAATTAAATTAATACACTCTAATCCAACGACATATTACCATAAATGATTTCTAATTGATTGATAGGGTATATTTTGCATGTCCATTAAACACATTTACCTATTTTGTTTACTTTAAAAAGTATATTTAATATATCATATAAGGCAT